ATATGGAAATTTAAAGTTAAAAAAAACAATGTACAGGCTGAATGTAAAACCTATATAAACAAAAGAATGATAAAGGGTTCAATAAATTTTGTTAAACATATTAAAGTATGTTATTAGTGGTTAAAAGGGGGGTAGGTTATCTCAAAAATTTAGTTTACAATATTGTCTATCATTATTAAAAGTTGCCCAAGATGATATAGGCCAAAGATTTTGATAAAGTATTTTCCTATTATGAATATAATGAGGCTTTTTGGCATTTAAGAACTTAAGGATTGAGTTAAATGATACAAAAAATACTTTCAATTCAAAATATATTAATAAAAAAAGCCCTAAAAATGTTGTCAAGTGGATTATATAATCAAGCTCAAACTGAAAATATAATACTAATTGATTAGATTTAACATATTATAATAAAGAAATAATAGAATAGATATTTATTTTTCTTTTGGTGAAACATTGCTAAGTTTAATACAAATAACATTGAATTGGATGTTTTAATTATAATAAAGAAAGTCAAAATACATTATAAAGACTTAATTATTAGTTATTACACTTACATTTATTATAAATACTCTTCTTTTGAAAATTAAACAAATATAATTTTAATATTAAAAAATAAATGCCTAATTATTATTTATAAATAACAAAACCAAGATTAACTCTTCATCAAATAAATAATTCATTTTTTTTATAAAGAATCTGTATCTAGATTCTATTTCTGTAGGACCTGCTCAACTCAGGAATGTAATAAATTAAATTTAAACATGTTGACATTAAGATTATCAAATAAAAAAAATTTAAAAGAATTACTTGTAAATGTCTCTTTAAGTTCGAGGATGATATTTTGGAAGATGATATTATCTTCTTACAGAGACGGCATTTGGTGCTGATCATATTATAAGTTACTTTCATCCATTTCACATAAAGTAAAATACTTACGTAAAATGGTAAAAGATTCTCATTCTCACTTATATCTGCTGTTACATCAATAGTAGAAGCAATAGAATCTTCTAAATCTATAATGGACATTTACATTTACCTATTAAAATAAATATTAATATATTATTATAAATTTATATTAAATAACTTGTAAGAGCTCTAAATCTCGTAAAATTTAGGAAATGAATAAATATATCTATAAAAATGTTGGAATGGAAGTTGATAAAATATGAAGATAGATATTTTTTTTTAATATTTTAATTTAATTTTCAAAATTTTTATTTTATTTATTGCTTTTTAAGTAAAAAATTAATTTTTAAAAAGATCGGGATCGAATTTTAAACAAAATGATCTCGATTCTCAATTTAAGTCAGAATCATAAATCTCGTAAAATTGACAAATTTGCGATCGAATCCAGGATCGTCGATCTTTTGATTCGATCTTTTAACAACTCTGGTTATTCATAACTTATTATAACATTTTTGATTAAATGTATAACCTTTTTGTTTTAACTATATATAATTTGACTATGATTGAAGTTTACCTCCTATTATTTGTTAACTTAGACATATCTTTTTATTTTTTTCTATTGTAATTTAATAACAATTTCTTAAATTTAATTTTATATTTTGTAAATAAGTAATAAATCATTTGGTTTGTTTAAAATTTAAATTAGGATGAACATATTTTCAGAATGGAACTTTAATATGTATTCATAAATTTCATTTAAATACCAGGAGCTCTCCAGTAGAATCATAGGTAAATCAGATATTTATTTACCCTTCATTTGATGATAATTTTGAAATTAGACGATTTAATTCTTATAAACCCCTTACATCAGACCTATTTTTCTGGATCAAAATAAATTATTTGGGTTTTCCTGGGCTTGAGAAATATTTTTCACCATTAATATGGACTTGGACATAGCTTGAGAAACATTTTTCATAATTATTATAGTCTAAGATTCCTGTAAATTTTTTAATTTTAATTATGGGCTAGAAATTGGCCTGAAAATTTCTTTTGAAGACATGGCAAGGCCTGATCAACCAAGGCCCATGCAACTTTCATATTTTGATTGTATTTTAAAATGCATTGTGACTTTTTATATATTTTATTTCAGTCCTCAACTATCAAAATTATTATGGTCTTTTGCGGGTTTGAGAAAACCAAGTGCGAGGACCTGGCTTGTGAATTTTTTTAATATTAGGCATAGGTGTAATATTTAACACAGAATATTTATATGGCCCTCAGGTAAAATTTAATTTAAATATATTTTTATTCAAAAAAATAGTATTCGCTCTTAGTCTTAATGGGGTTAGCCTTGGTTGGGGTGAGCTGGGTTAAAATAGACTAAAAAATAGATATGGTTTATAGAGATTTATTTATCTCCAGGCTTGGAAAAAAAATTTAAATTACTATCCAGGTTTGAGAAAATTTTTTTATAAAATTATTATGGGTTGGGCTGGGCTTGGAAAATATTTTTATAAATTATATTAGGCTGGGCTTGAGGAAATTTTTTTAAAATTATTATGAGCTTGGACCCTTGAGAATTTTTTTATTATTAATTATAGGTCAGACATTGGCCCAAAACAAATTTTTTTTCAGGCCTGGACTTGACCTGATCAAAAAACCAAGGCCCATGAAAATCTGAATTTTGATTGTATTTTTAAATTCACTATGATTAATTAAATATTTTATTTCAGTTCTTAACTACCAAAATTATTATGATCTTTCATTGGGCTTGGAAGAATTTTTCATAATTAATATGGCTTTGGACTTTGCCTGGCTATTTTTTTAAATATTAAATATTATGTATAAGTAATCAGTAATATTTAACAAATAATATTGGTAATTATCAAGTAAATGCTTTAAATTTATTTTAACTCAAACCATAGCACTTAGTTTTAATGGATTAAACCTGGCCTGAAGGGATGGGGGGGGGAGTAAGAAGAATAAAAATTGGATATTATTTTCAAATAACAGGTAACATGCATAAAAGTAAGAAGAAAATTTTCATTCCCCCTCATTTTTGACGGGCTATCTACTAGTAATAATATAAATAAAAAATATATATCATATAATATGTTTATTTGTTGATAAATAAAATATTAATATTAACATTAAATATAAATAAAATAAATTATTTTAATAAAAATAAAAAAAAAATAATAGGCCGCGTTATATTTCGCGAAATAGTTTTCGCTATATTATCTTCGCGATTTATGTTTCGCGATATTGACTTCGCTATAAAAATTTCGCGCTAATGTATTCGCTTTAAAGGTTTCGCGATAAGAGTTTCGCTATAAAAAATTCGCGATATTTGTTTCGCTATATTGTTTTCGCGGAAAAATATTCGCTAATGTGGATTCGCGATAAAAGTTTTGCTATAAAATTCATTCGCGATAAAGGACATTCGCAATATAAGTTTCGCTGAATTTACATTGAACCGAGATGTATTATTATTATATGCCTTTGGTTTGTGTAATTTATTAATATAATTTATTATGAGATTTAAAAAATAAACTTCTCGTGAGATTCAAAAAATACGGCAAATAAAAATTTAACATTGCTTTAATTTTCATTTCAGAGATTTTTAATTTGTGCTAGTCTTTTTATAAACACATTACAAGTCAGATTGGCAGGTAATCAAATAGAAATTATTAAAACAATTTATTATATATTCCGAATAATTTCGTTTTATTCTAATCTAATAAATAATTATTCATATTCGCATAAAACACATAATTTATTATTCGTATTAGTAATTATTCAATTCGAATTTTTTTCAATAGGCCTAATTGATAGTAATTGCAGAACAAATGAATCGTGCAAGGTATTTGAAATAATCGATTTTATTTCAAATTTATTTGAAAACTATATCAAAAATAAATATAAAAAATTGAAGTCATCAATATAAATATTTCAAAAAGGTTACTATAGCAAACGGCTCGATTTTAAAAAACTGGTAACCCAATATTTTATTTAAGAAATATTACGCTAGTCTGGAGATTTTGCATACATGACAGAAAGGTTTGGGTATCTATTAACGAAATCTCCAGGCTTGCATTATATTGTTTTGGCTATCTTAATTTAAAATAATCGACTAAATCTAGCTGATACCACTTTTTGTAGCCCGATCCGATATCACCGATAAAATTATTATCGGGCCGGTTACCGATCCGATAGCATATCGGATTTTCTATTCTGTAATACTAATCGTTAGCTTAATCTACTCATCTCATATACTTTTTAATAGTATAACATCTTTGATTTAACTATACCATAACATAAGTCATTTAAATATATTATAATGATCAGTTATAGTTTTATATTCATAAATCTAAAAGTATAAAATATTTTTATTTATAAATCACTTATTTATAAAATAACATTAATCTATTTATTAAATAATAAGTAATAAACAATATTATATGTAAAAGAAATATAATTTTTTTAAAATTAAGACGCCATTTTATCGGATCGGAAAATTTTACCATATCTGGCGATAACAAAGGGTGAAATACCGGCCCAATCCGATCCGATAAATCGGTGAATCCCTAAACGATGCTATTGCCTTTATTTTTTTAAATATTTATATTTTAGCTTAAAAATTTTCTCCACTTTATTTAAAAGATAGTAATTTGTGTTTCGTATATATATAATTATATTTTCTTTTTAAAAATCCAAATTTTTTTTGCAACAATTATATTTTTAAATTTTTTCCTTCAGTTTTTTTGATAAATTTTTACCCCCATTACCAGATAAGATGCAGATATAACATTTTAAGAATTCTGCTCTAAATTTACTAGATATTGTATATGGTATTCGTGAGCCCCGGATTTTAAAGATTGAAGTTCAAGTCTGTTCCTTTTATTATTCTATATAACGTGTAATGCATTATAATAGATTTTTTTAAAATTAGTAGACATTCAAAATGTTCATAATATCATATATTTTTATAAAAATTAATTTCTCAATGACAAAATTTTTTAGAAATATTTATTAAATCAAGCTATAATTTAATGATCTAGACGTAATCAAATTTATCAAAAAAATCGCAGGCCAACTAGCCAAAAATTCGCTCCTTTTTTACACTTGTCTTTCGACCGTCCACGATGACCTCGCCCGCTTTATCGAAGAAAAATCTAATTTTAGCGCGGTAAAAAAACATTAGTATTTAATTCATTGATTAACTAATGTACTTGCTTCTTCTTTGATTAATTAAGGTCGTGCCAAAGATAATTTTTGTGGGATACCTCCAGATCACGTGATTTATACACAAATAGACTTGTTTTGGAAGATTGGATAAATCCAGTGACCCCTACACTTTTTGAGGGATAGAAGCAGAATACCCCCCTAAAGTACCCCCCCCCATTGTAAATTATTTTTTGACACCAATAAATTTCAAAAATAATTTTCAATATTTATTATAATATAAATATAATGTAAAAAATATATGCTTTAAAAATATTTTTTTTAAATTAATAATTTAGATAAATTAGGGGAAGAGAAAGCAAAAGAATTTATAATTTCATCAATATTTAATTGTTTAAATAAATTATTTTCCATTGATAAAATGGTTAAATTATTAAGAAATGGATTTTTCATGACACTACGAAGTCTTGTTTTAATTAGTTTAATTTTACTCATGACCCTTTAGGCAGTACATGATGTAGTAGGAATAGTTAATAAATATTTATATAAAATTGTTAAATTTGGGAAAGCAGAAAAATTTATAAGCAGACTATAAGGTAAAATAAATGAATAGTTTCTCCAGTCTGAATCATTCATCTCAGAATTATTATCATCATCAGAAGAAGCTAAATAATGTATTAGTAAAAATATTTTAATTAAATAAATTTACAATTCTCAGAATCTGACAAATCTTCTTTAACCTCTAGGTCACGAGTAATAATTACGTCCCCCGTTTTAGCCATTTTATAAATATTTCTAAACATCAACATTTCCTCAAAAACTTGACTTGTATTTAATTTATAAAATTCACAGATATCCTTGATATCATCTTTAACAATTGCCTTTTCCGCCATTCCCTTTGGGGTAAAAAATGATGTTTGACTCAAAAATTTTATCGATTCATCGTTAAATCTTTCACTAAACTGCATAATAATTAAATCAAGTGCAGCATAAAACACACTGATTTTAAAGCTAAAATAAAATATTATATTTAATGATGAAAGTATATATATACACCTCTCCTTTTTGGATTGTAATGTTTGAAGTCTTGAACTATCAAAATCAAAAGGTAAATTTCTCTTCTTCATAAAATCTTGGGCCTTTGTAAAGACATCCAAAAATTCAGTGTTATTATATATTTTAGGATTATAAAATAATAAAAGATAATAATTTAAATTATACTTCTCATATTAATCAGGCAATCTTTTGCCAATTGAATTTGATTTATTGCACTCTATATCCTTCGAAATGGTTTGCAATTTTGTACAAGCCAAGCTTGTTATCAACAATATTTTATCCAAAACACATAGTGATAAAATAAAATAAAATTTTTCTATTCTATAGACTATAGCACTAGCCATAGTGGAAGTGGCAGGATCTTCAGAATCCTTTAATTTTGCCAAAGCTGCCCTCAAAGCATCATAAAGTAGGAAAAAAATTACAATCGCCTTATATGATGTTAGCCAGCTTCTATAAATATAAAATAAACATTATATATCGAAACAATTAAGATAATATTACCGAGTGGTATTCTTGATGCGTAAAAATCTATGTGATTTTGTCAGTAAATCACTCTGACATGTTTTGAGCACTTCATATCTTTTAACACCATTAAAATATACGTAAATTTCGTCTAATATTCCTAAGACATTTCCCACCTCTTTTACTGATTGGCATAATTGAACAACTATTAAATTTAAACGATGACAATAGCACCAAATAAAAGCTGTCTTTGGCGCCTCCGCTCTAATCAAAGCCTGCACTCCATTAATTCTTCCACTCATGTTTGAGGCGCCATCATAGCTTTGCCCCACTAGGAATTCGAGGGGTAGATTCAAGGAGCCAAGCTTGGATATTATATTCTTTTTAATATCGAGGCCCGTTGTATTTCCCGTACAATAAATGTCTATCAGCCTTTCAACGGGCTTAGGTGTCTCGCTATTTTCAACATATCTCACTATCAAAGCTATTGCTTCTGATTTCGATACATCATATGTGCCATCAACTATAATTGAATAGCACCTGTTGAATACAATCTCCTTTTGAATTTTTTTTATAACCATATTTTTCATGGTTTCAATAAGAATATTTATATTATTATATGATAACAGATTTGAATATAATTTAGATTTTAATCCCTTAATTTTTTTCTCACTTCTTCTTTCTTCATTATCTTGTATATACATTTTAAGAACAGGCTCAGAATCTGCAATAAGTTTAATGAGGCTCATCATATTGCCATCTTGTTGCCTGTTCCCCCAGAAGGCTTGATTGCGAGATAAGCATTTATATTTTTTTTGGTTAATATTCTTGGGCATATTTTGACAATGATCTAAAAATTATAAATGATTATATATAAGATTTAATATTTAAATTTTTACTATTCACTTTGATAAAATTTTAATTTTGCGTCAAATCTTGAAAGTGGAAAAATAATTTTATGATAAAAAATATCTTATAACAAACTAATTTGCTAAACATCGACCATAAATATTTTTTTTTAAAAAATTTTAAAATAAAAAATTTAAAAAAAAAAAGTACCCCCATAGAAATTTATAGAAGCAGTTGCTTCGGACCCCCCCTCCGTTGTAGGGGTCACTGGATAAATCTATTATTTTCAAAATTTATTTCCCCTCCCTGAACAAAGCCCACTTCCCAACCTTTGGCCATATTAACTAATTTGGGGGTAGGCAGAGATTTTGGAGGGGGCGATTGGGGTGTTGGAGCTATATTTCGGTTTAATTAAAGAAGGGATACCCTGGGGCCACAAAATATTTGTGAATGTTTTAAATGCCCACTGTGAAAGATTACACCTATTTAATGGATATAATTTTTAAATGAATACGATCTTCCTTTCTTCCCTGGGAAGAAAAGAGGCTTATTAAAATTACTTATTAATTATCCATATTTAATCGATATAATTACTCCCTTCAATTTTTATCTTAATATAATCAAGTTATTTTTTTTAATTATATTTTGTCCAAGATGCCAGAGCTTGAGTTATTTTCTTTTATTCGAAAATTCGATAATACAGTGAAACGATACACATGTTTAAATTTACTATAAAAGGGGGTAAACAAAATAAGATTTTATTTTTAATAGAATAAAGATTGAAATTAAATATGGACAAGCAATTAATTAAGAAGATTAATAGTTGATTAATCATTATAAAAAGAAATGTGTTACATATATATAATTTGTGATGAAAAATGAATTTTTTTCTTATTTTCTTTGAGAATGCTCAAGTAAGATATTTGATTAAATTTCATTTAAAATTCTAAATCATTTTTTGTAAAAAGTCTTTTTAATATTTGAAAATATTTTAGAATTTCTTAAATGTAATCTATTTTGTATATCCATTTATTTCGATAAAAATATGATAACACTATAAACTTTTATAATAATTTCGATAAAATAATTAATACATAAAAATTATAATTAAAATTTATCAAACATTTGTTGTTCTTCCGGCATTGATAACATTTTGGTAAATATATCTAATTTTTCTTTATTCCAATATTTGTGTATTCTTTTTGGTCTTTGAATTCTCGACGAAGATTGGGAGTTTTCATTTAAATTGGAAAAATTAGTATTACTATTGGATAATAAAGATTCTATATTAAACATTTTTTTTTATTATTTAAGAAAAATTAAAAATAATTAATATGTAAGTATTTTAATTTTTTATTTTGAATTAAATTTTAACACATTTTTTTTATAATGATTAATCAACTATAAATCTTCTTAATTAATTGCTTGTCCATATTTAATTTCAATCTTTATTCTATTAAAAATAAAATCTTATTTTGTTTACCCCCTTTTATAGTATATTTAAACATGTGTATCGTTTCACTGTATTAGCTTTCCTTGTCGCAAACATATTGAATAATATGTTTATGAAAAAGCAAGAAAATAGATTTTTTCGCCAGACCTTTTTCAATATCCATAAAAACTTGTAGACATACCTCATTAGCAATTATGTTGCCTGAGATAACGGGGATTAAAGGTGAAAATCGACTTTTATAAAATTTTACTGATATTAAATATTTGTTTTAAATGAAAGGCTAAATTAGTTCGAATATTTAATTAATATTATTAATTAAGTCAATAATCGATAATTATAGGGAAACATCAAAATTAATTTTTTTTTAAATATTGGTCATTTTAAAATTAATCTTTCGAATATATTTTGAGCTTCAATTTTTAAAATTTTTATTTTCTCTTATTTTTTTACTATTTTTCTATAATTTTTTAATAATTAGCGCAGCTGGATAATTTTTTTAAAAATTAAAATATCATTAATATTGTATAAAAAAATGTGCTATATATGAACATTTAATCCAATATAAGGCTTTTTCTATCGTTAAATTTTTTTATTATAATTGATTTACAAGGAATAAAAAGGTTTTTAAATTTTTATTTATTTATTCTTAAAATATGGAAATTTTATAAATTTATTTTTTATTCAATATGCTTGATATTACTCCAAAATTAATTTTAATGGCTTGAAATGATTTTACAAGATATAGAAAAGAACTTTTTATTGCATTGATATGTTTATATATAACGTCATCTATACATTTATATATATATTATTTACGATATTTTTTAAATAATTATTTAGCCGCGCTAATTATTGAAGAAGTTATTAGAAAAATAGTAAATGATTAATTGGAAAAAAAGTTGAAAAATTGAAGCTTTATCAATTCTTTATATTAAAAAAAAATTTTTTGATGTTTCCCCAATAATTATCAATTATTGACTTAGTTATGAATATTAGATTCAGTATTCAACGAATTTAGTTTTAAAAAACCGATTTTTTTGTACCTTTAATTCCCAATATTTCGGGAAATATAGTTGCTAATGAGCTAAGATTTCGTTTCAAATAATACAACATAAATAATGTGCCTACAATAATCTAAAGTGGTCTGCCGAAAGGTGTTTGATTTATAATGGAAGAATAAC